AGCACCTAATTGAAATTCTCTTCTCATTAATTTCGTTAATTAATAACCCTCTTTCTCATTAAATTCGTTTTGTTAGTATAAAACTACAAACTTAGAAATACCAAGATTCAAACCTTGGACATTAGGCTTTAACAACTAGAGGTTCACCACTAAGCCACGCCCATTTGCTTGTTATAGGTTTATGCATTTTTATTTTTAAATAAATCTTTTCTTTTTCTTAGTGTATGCTTATCAATAAATGTTAGAATTAATTATTAAAATTTATGTATTAATAAATATAAAGATAAATTATGTTGATTGTTTTAAAATTAATATATATCAATATACATTTTAGTTTTTTTTGTTTTTTCACGTTTTAGTTATTCCATCATTTGTGAATAGTTACTAAGTGTGTCCCGATATCTTGAATTTTATATAGACCATTAAATTATAGTTTTTTTACTTTTAATAACTTATTTACAATCATATAAAACTTGTAACTATCGTTATTAATATATTTTTAGGATTTATTTGAGGTTTTTTGCATATTTATGTGTATCTTGATTTTTCGTCCGTATTTATACGTATCCAAAGCGTATCATGATACATCTCTTAAAATTATCTTTCTGATACACCTTACGTTTCTGACAATTTAAACCTTGGGTCCATTGTGACTAGGTTCTTAGTGTTTGGATTATTGTCTTGTTCATCAGCCATTGTTAGAAACTTAGTTGTTTTGAGTTAAGTGTTCACTTAGGAAAAATCTTAGCAATGTTTCCCACAAGTGGCGCCAATTGTTGCTATGTAGAATGGGGTTGAGGGCAACAAAGTAAATTTGTTTCTTTAGCCGAGGCCAATGTGTCCGACCTGAGAGTAAGAGATCACACGTAAGAGGCCCCGGGTGTTATCCCAGGGGCAAATACTCTGACGGTCAAGTTATAGTCCGTTTGGTTGCTAAGAAAGATATGGGATGGGAAGCATCTTTAAGGAATATTCTTTTTGTGATGTGTTTGTTTTGAAGAAAAAATGGGATGGGATGAAAAAGTTTTGAGATGTGAGTTTCCAAAAGTCTTTATGCGAGGTCACCGGAATGGTAAGGAAGCAAGTGAGAAAATTTTGTCGAGAGCACCATTTCGAGCGTCGCCTTTCTTTCACACGCCGTTCACCAATCTTCTTGTCAGTGCCATCTCCGGCGACTTCTTTCACTGGTAAGTTCAGATTTGCAATCCTCTTGCGATTTCGGTTCACTTTTATACCATTTTTGTTCACTGATCATCTTCTACCTCTATCTCTGTTCATCCAAACCAACCTCCATTGTCAAAAAACACTTGAACTGCCGTTCAAGGTGTTCATTTGAACGTTAGAGCTCCAGATCTGGCTTTCGGTTGCCTCGTCCAGATCTGGCTTCCGCCCTTCCGGCGTTTGCCTCATCCCTTCCGTCAAGCCAAAGGGATCTTAGGTAATCTCAGGTAATATCTGTTATAGCAGTTTTATTTTTTATTTTTTTTTCTTGATTCTTACTCTGTTAATGCTCCATCGGTAAGCTGTGCAACTTACTATGTTATGGTTCCATCGGTAAGGCATCTATATGAGATCCTTTTGATTACATAGTGACTGAAAGGCATCTATATGAGATCCTTTCACTAGACTTGAACCACAGAGATTCCAAAATAATGTTCTGAATTGCAATATCTGAAAGAAAGATAATGTACAGAAAAATGAATTAGAGTAAGCAGTATTTCTAGTAAGGAAACATAACTTAGAAATGAACGGGAAAAAAACTGAAAAATTGCCTGAATGAATTGAAAAACAGAGCACAATTCAAAAGTAAGTTTTCCTTGTATTTACAAGATAAACATGCTTCAACGGTTCAACCATATGTCATTGATGCTTGTGAAGCTTTTCAGTTGAATCTTGCAACATTGCATTTATTGTAAGGAACGTTCTTCCGTCATACCCAGCCTAGCTTTAACATTGCTTAACTGCTTAATATATGCATGCATAGGTTCTAGGAGGTAAGGCTCGAAGGAAGACTGTGAGTTGGTTCACCAAGAATCATAAAACGTATTTTTGTATCAACAAAGAATGATGGTAGTTTGTTGGTTCACTTTGAAATGCACTATTTTTGAGTAGTTAATTGATAATGTATCACTTATCTCCTCTTTTATATGAACAAAAAAGGATGTTAGTTTGTTGGTTCACTTTGAAATAGGACAATTTTTTTCCTTATTTAGTTTGGATTGTTCATCTTGTGATGTGGGCTTGGAGAATGCATGTATTTGTTAAACTATGATGGATCCAATAATCTTATAAAATTTTCTCAGCAATAACACTGGAAACAGATTTGGCAGGATAAAACACAGTTGACAAGATTGAAAAAAAAAAATTCTCATCTCATCCCATCCTTTCTCGGCAATCAAACAGACCATTAATCAAGTGTATGAAAGAGGTGAACGAAGTCTGAGGTGAGGGCTCTCGAGAGCAAGAAAACTAGAACAAGAACGAGCAAGATGGATTTACATGGAGAAGGCACCCCTATTTATACTTGACCTTGCCTTGCGAGTACTTGGAGATGATTGGATTGCATCCGGCCGATGCCACGTGGTGCCATCTTGGGCCTTGCCACATACGCCTCTCGCGTCAAACTTCCGAAAGAGATACAACGCATCTCCTTGCTTATTCCAAAGCTTGGCAGCGATGGAAGTAGACAAGGGGCGAGAGGGACAAACAAAGCGATATCACAGGCTAAACGTCAATAGATTACAGAGGTAAAAAGAAAAGGGTTCTTTTCTGTTTCAGGGAAGCTTTGAAAAGAACTGCCACTGAATCAAGACAAGCTGAAAAACCTGTTCTTAGAACCTGAGTTTGGTAAAGAACCACATGTTCTTCCAAGTCTTGAACCAAACTTTAACCTCTTTGCAGCAGTAACCTTCTTGTCGCAAGAATGAAGTGCGTCGAGGGAGAGCACGGCCTTGTTCGGCTTCAAAGATTTCACCATCTTCTCGAGCTGCTAGTACTGATGCCGGTTTTTTCGTCACAGTTTTACACTTCACAGGCACTCTCCTTCCCCACATCAAGCATTATCTCCCTCACCTTCCTGCACTTCTATCCATTCGCCGAAAACCTATCACGGCCAGAAGAATCCCCTAACCCCATTATCCGCTACAAGGATAGCGACTCGGTCTCCCTAACTATCGCCCATCTGAAGGTGGCTTCCACCGTCTCTCCGACAACCAAGCGATAGAGTCGAAGGAATCGCATTCTTTGGTTCCTCAGTTATCAGTATCTGGATTAGTTATCCCGGTTCTGGCGTTACAATTCACTGTGTTCCCAAACTGTATTATAAGGCTTGGGATTTGCGTTTCACCATTCAATTGCCGACGCCAGAACGCTTACCCATTTTATCAACTCATGGGCTGATGGGCTTCAATTTGTAAGCTGGGAAAGCCGTCTTTATCAACTAAATCTCTCCCAATCCACGACAAGACTCTGATGAAGACCCAAAAGGCATCCAGAAGATATTCATGAACCAGTTAGCAAATTTTTTCCAGTCCGACTACAGAGATCAATTACTAGGTCTACAACTTTGAGCTTGGTCGGTGGTACAAGGAAGATGAAGGAAAGAGCTTCCGATTTGACTTAAAAGGCAAAATGGACATATCAGTCCTGTCAATACTTTAGCGATAATGGTAATTTCCAAGATGTAGGAATAACATTAAACAATAGTTTTAGTAAATTAGTTAAGCTTTAAGAAATTTATCCTATATTATATCGCATATAACAAACGTCAACAGTGAGTCAATTCATATTTAAGGGTTGTCCTCCCAGATTAGATTCCCTTCACGATACACGTACATGAGTGTTTTTTTTTCTTGATAGAGTGGGAGAATACAGAAAAAAATTAAAATTGGATTCTCCAACTTATTAAAAAACACATTGCTTGGCAAAAAAAATAAAAAATAAAAAATAAAAAATAAAAAATAAAAAATAAAAACTTTACCTTCTTCTATAAAGGATAATCAAGTAAAGTAAAATCAAATTTAGGAGTCCATTTGGTTCGTAGTCAAAACCGGAATCAAAATGGTTCATTCCCATAATCCGTTTGATTCAGACGGGAATAGAAATAGAAATTAAAATCAGCAGAAATGGAATTCCATTCTCAAGGGAGGGGCAGGAAATGACCATTCCCTCAAATGGGAATATGCCATTCTAACATAAATAAGAATGGGATTCCAATTCCACCCAACCTAACAGTTTGAATCAAAATAGCACATTCTGATTCCAATTCCAAACCCCTATTCCTGCAAATCAAACAGACCCTGAGAATTAAATGAAGCATTGCCCAAAACTTGAGCAATATGCTCTTTTTCATGCATTATGCATTATTTATTTAAAATTTCCTTCCAAATAATTACAATTTTTTTAATTAGAAGTCATAGGCCCAAAATTAGGCCAACCTAGACTTTTATCGGTTCTGCGCTTGAACTTATATTTTAGGCCCGAGGCCCGACCCACCAACCAGACCCAGACCTAGCTATAACCGCTTATCATGGGTGATGTATTCAAACTAGCAGGGCCCATGATCACCCCTGATGATTGGTTACCACTTTTAAAATATCAGGTCATTATTTACACGTCTTTCCAGTATCATTGTAACCCGAAAAGGTGCAAACTAGAGAGAAGAAATGAAGAAAACCAAAACAAATATAAGAACACTCATTTTATTCATTCGTCGGTTATAAATGTGCTTAACAATTGCAGAAATAAATAAGATATAATAATAATTATAAGATAAATAATAAGATATAATACTAAATCTCAAACAAAAATGACACTACTACCAAATAGCAAAAAAGAAATAAATTGAGCCCACGTTAAGACAATTGACAATTCAAAAGAGGAAGCAACCATATGAATTCCGTTAAAAACAAAGACGATATGAGAAAAATTTATTTATCAAACAAGTTGAGCCAGATTTATCCATCTCAGGAGAATTTACCTATCAATCAAGCCGAGCCAGATGCACCAAAAAAAAAAAGAAGATTTAGTTTATTACCAAATCCAACAAAATAGATATGCCCTCAAAGGCTCAAATAACACAAGGACTTGGAAAGACAAAAATAAAAGTCATCAACTAAAAACTGTAGTTTCTTGTTCCAAATTATACCACCATCTAAAGAAATAAAAAGGATGGATGCAACAAAACTACAACTACAACAACCACCTTAACTTCGAGCTCTCTATAACCCCTAACAGTCTAACATTTGAGCTCCTTTAACCCATAGGCAAAGTACAAAAATGTTGGGTCCGTGGCACCATCCTGGTAGTACGCAAAGACCAAGGTGGAATCATCGTTCATGCTCTCCCCCACAAAACTGCAAAGAACCCCAAAAAAATTTCAACATCAGATGGTAACAGAAGGATTCTCGCTAATGTCAAGATATTAGATAGCTTCCAAGAGTTGTCTCGTTTTCCAACATAATGCGCAACAAGGAAAAGTCAGGACTTACAATTGGAGGTCGTTGAGTTTCGAAAGCAGGAACTTGGTTGCTCCTTCGATGTGCTTCTTGAATTCCTCTTGCTTCTCACCATCCAACTTGGGTGTGAGCAACTTGATGTACTTTTTCACGTAGGCAACAAACTGCTTTTTGTCAAAAGGAGGTTGCTCCTGCCAGAAAAGTAAAACCAACTACTAGTCAGCTTTAATATGTAAACATGAGCAATTACCAATCACATGAGAGAAGTTCATATTATTAACCTGTAGGCGGAAGGTGTCAACAATATCAACCACCTTAACAGTTTGGTCATCAACACCTTCATCTTCCTCTCCGCCTTCTGCGGATGGGTTTGCACCAATATCTACGTCAACTGCTCCTTTGACAACCCACTAACAAAAGCCAAAACGGGAACAAAATGTCAAAGTGCTTACTTGCTCTAAAAATTGTATTAACATTGAGTAAATCATACCTAAACCCACTGAACAATTCCATGGATGAGAAACAAACCCATCCATATTTTACCAAAACCTCCAACTTTAATACTTTATGTAAAGAATTATATAAAAAATGGCAATATTACTAGAGGTTTATACAGATATATGTCATGTTTCATTCAGTGTCATCAATAGATACATGTCACGGTCAATCAATGCAGTTAACAGGTGAAGCAATGAAAAGTCATTTTGGCCTCCAAGTCAATGAAGTGACTACTCAATGTGAATGTGTAGGTGTTGATTACTGATTAGTCAATAAAAAAAGAAATTTTTTAAATTCAAAATATTAAATAACTCCAGCAGTGTGTGAGATTTTCATACACCAACTCTCTAAATAACAAGGGTAGCATCAGGTTGGCATCCAGGATTAAACTTTGGGCAAAATCATATGGTCGTGAATCCTGAATTGGTCTTTCCATGCTTACACTGAGAATGGAATGAAAAAGCAGGATGCATGTAGCCGACTCCATATAAACATTGCTTAGATGATGATGATGATAATGCAATTTCATAAATAAGTTCATCAAAACTACAGTTGTGTAAGAAAAGAATGATATTGAATATTTAATTATTTACCAAGATTATAAGTTTAGTTTACGGTCTTTATTTTGCAAACAAAGAAAATGATATGCTAGGGTAAAGAATCACAAACTCACAACCTCTATTCTCCATAAGAGGGTTTAACCTTGGCAATTCAATATGCCTTTAGTTTGTGGCAACTCCCTGGCTAACACACCACTAATTGAAAGAAAACTTCAAGAATTCCTCCACTTCCTTCTTTTATTTTTGCATTTTTTCAATTTTATATACCATCATCCAATCATGTTCCATCACAAATATGTAAAGCAACTGTATAATTAAAACAAATTGCAAACATATTCTCAAATATTTCAGATAATTAGAAATACAAATGAGCAAATAAGCTTTTAAAATGACTGTTGTTGATTATTCATTAATCAGCTAGTTGACCTAGGAAGTTGTCCTAGGTGACTACATCACGAGTATTGACCAACTAGGCAATGACTAATCCACTTTGATAACACTGGTTTCTTTCCTTTTTACTTTGTTTCCTTCTGCTTTTCACGTGTGACTGACAATTCTGACTACAATATTCCATTAAAACTACTGCTTATATAATTACAGGTTATGGGTGTTCCATTACATTAACTAGAAAATCAAACACTGCCAAGAGTGGTTGCTAACCTTTCCCTCAACTTCCCAAAGCATTCCATTCTGGATTTCCTTGTAAGGGAAGGAATCAGAGAGAAGCTCATCACCTGCAACACATGAAAACTTACAATGGTTAAGAGTTTCTGTCTAGCAGGGAATACAACAAAAAACAAGGGAACCCGATCTAAAAGACAGAACAACACGAACAGGAAAAAGTAAAGGAAACACAAGCACAAGGCACCACCAGCACCAGAAAAGTATACTATATCAAAGCACAAGAAACCAGAAGACCAAAAAGAAAGCAAACCAAAGCACAAGGCACCAAAAAAATGCAGAAGGAATTTGATATGCAGTTAATGCTGATAGGACCTACCGCCTAAAACTTGCTAAACCCAATGAATTGCCTCTTGGCATCCTAAAAACATTCTTCCTTTGCTACATAAAGAAGGAATAAGCTGATGTACATGTTCCATCCACAATGCATAGATACAATTACGAAAGACAGCATAACAAACCAGACAGATAGTTATTTACTATTAAAGACCAATTATTCCATAAGGCAAAGATAAAATCCCAAGGAGAAGAAATACGGTCTAAAAAATAAACTCCTTGGATTCCAAAAGCATCTGTTGCCCTGAATAAAAGAAATAAATTAACACACACACAATTACAGTTCTCCAGAACAACCATGGGAATATATCCTATTATTCTAAGTTGGGGAATAAAAAGGGAATATGACACAAGACATTCTAAAAAATTTGCAATTAATATAATCAATCAATCAACATGCAGCAACTGAGTGGCATAAACCAATGGAAAATTAACATAAAAAAGGGGCAGAAAACTATTCAGATAGTAATATTTCAGCTATAACTTAAACCCTTCTTACGGAAATTACTTCGTTTTTTCACCCCCTTTAATTAAAAAGGGGCAACTTTAATTCAATAAAAGATGAACAAATAGTAACAATGTCAAGAAAGATGAACAAAATAGCCAAACAACAACTTATAACGGGTTGAAAATATATCTAAGATTCCAGCAACTTATAAACTCTGAGTGTTCATAGGTTTCTTTTTCACTAGTTAAAGGAAATGCACCTCCGCCCCCAATCCCCAACGTCAAACCCTCCTAGACATGTGCATAGGCTAACGTCCCCAAGATAAATTAATAGACAAGGAAATAATTACAGAACAGTGAACAAGCCTGAGATTCTGGTAAGATACTAAATACGAGAGATTGAGAGAAACCTTACTTGCATATCCTTATCAAAATTTTTACTACAAGAAACCTTATCAAAATTTCACGACTACATTAAATTTTTACTACAAGAAATGTCGCATGAAGTTTATATTTACTGCGAGAAAATTAATCTTGCGGATAAACGAAGAAGGGAAACTAGCATAAAAATTAAGAAAAAAATGCCCTGACGGAACGCAAATAACCGCCATGAAACAAAAGATCAACCAGGCTAACAGAAGGAATAGAAGGCGAAGAGGTTTAACCAGTAATCAGAAGCAAGGATCAAAAAATTTTCAAATTATACCCAACCTTCCAGATCCAAAAAGAGTTTTTAAAAATAAAACAGAAGGAAGAACTAGCACTTCAGATCTAAGTTAAAATTTAAGAATCAAACTAAGCCAATCAAATTATAGACAAAATATTCATAATAAATGGCCTATGGAGAAATAGCCAATAGAAAATTTTATGCGTTGCTAAAAATAAATTTGGCAAACACAAATACACAATAAACCCTAAAACACTAATAAATAATAAACAGATCGAACAAGTATTAACTAGAGAGCTTACAGAACTAATACTGCTATAGTTCAGAAATAAATCGAATTGACCATGAAAACAATCAGTTATTATAAATAATTACCAGTGAGAAGATCCTGATAGACAAGCATGTTTGCAAGCTCTCACTGATCACAAAAACACAAAGGAGAAGAAGATGGAAAAAAAGAGAGCTGTTGGCGAGGGAGAGAACTCGAAACGCTTGGACAAACACTATTTATAGACGAGGGTTTGGGAAGCGATATTTGAAGACGAATTCTTAAATTACGGAAACCAGCTTAGATTTTTACTTAATACCCAACGAATCCTTTTCCTTCTGGTGCGTATTACGCACACCGTCTAATCGTCCACCGCCTAAGATGCGTAGACCTTCCAACGAAGAACTGTCCCAACACCTTCAGCTCATGCATGGTGGATCCCAGTCGTACGAAGGATCCAATGTTATGGTGTGTGAGCAGTGCGGATACGGGTGAGACCGGATCTGCTCCTCACACAGGGCGCCTCACCGACTTTATATATACATCATGTATTGGGAACATCTTCTGTATTTATAAATTATTATTTAGGAGAATATTATTTAGCCCAGGGTTAGAATTCGGCCCAAAGGCCAAAGTATAATTAGGGTGTTGTTAGCTCGAAATTGATGTCAATTCACTAAAAGATATGGATACATAGAGAGTGGGTTTTTTACCTTTTAAATATTTATAGATTTGTAACAGAATTCAGAAATCTGCATTAAACATGTCGGTACTTTTATGATTATTATTTACGAGAAATGTTCTTAAAAGCATAGTAGATGTATTTGTGAGATGCCCCTGTGTGAGTAACAGATCCCATTCCGATACAAATCGCGTTGAAACTGTGTTTGACAATTGGGATGCTGTGTTGAGAGGAGATCCCAACCCAAGCTAAAACCTATAGAAAAAAAAAAAACTAAATGCAGAAATCAGTGTGGCGAGTTCAATCAGAGTAAGGATCTGCTATGAACAAAATGCTTCAAAAAATCCCAACAAATAATTGCAGTCATAAATTGGGAACATCTCCCTTATCATCTATAGAAAGATGTTCCTAATATGCAGCTGCAATGGTCGATTGGGATATTTTGGAAGTCTTGTTGGTAGCAGATTTGAACTCGTTTGATCAATTCCAAAAAAAAAAAAGGCAACAAGCCAATAATATACAAGTTGTTCATTGAATCTGTACCATTCGATTTAATGGAACTTTTAATCTGGGAATTAAAATCAATCAAAATGTTTTCCTTTTGAACTTCGGTAATATGTTTTATGCTACACCGGATCTAATCCCCAGGAAGATCACAACAGCCTTTACAGCCGTACATTGGCAACATCTCCCTTGTTGTATTTGATGGTGAGATGCTCCTTAGTACAACTGCAAAGGCTGTTCTGCCGATTATTGGATCCTATTGGACCTAATCCGAACTCGTATATCTATTATATATACTAAGGCGGGAAGGGTCTTCTTAAAGACGTAGCCTTACCTTCCTACAGGATAAGGTATCCACACGTGAACTTTTATTTCGTGTGCGAAAATCTCTTCCAGCATGATGAAGTATCCGCACGTGAAGTTTTTCGTCACATGAAATCTCTTCGTTGTGGGTTGTCTTTTCCGGCTCTCGTCCATGGCTACCTCCTCGGCGATCTTCTAGAGGCAATTTCTCTCCACACTCATTGTATTGCAGATTTCAATGGCGCCCATTAACGGTAAATGATAGAAATTGGTTTTACTCCGAGAGCCTCTGAAGCTAAGAGGGCTGCAGCCTAAAAAATTCATTTTAAGTAGTAAAAATATCAAATATCTTTCAGTTTTTTTTTAGAAACAAATATCTCCATCTATTCAGTACTCAGTAATTTGGAGAATGAACTGATGAGCTTCACGTTTGCTCCCTTCTTCCTCCTATCTCGGTTTTCTCTGGAGACTGTTATTATTAGTAGAAACTTTGATGGCTTTCTCTTGCGATTCTGAATCTCCTGCTCACGAGAATTCTGCCCACACCTACCCACAATACACTACCCTCCGTGAATTGGGAACATCTACTATGCATGGGATGAGATGTTCTCATATGTGGTTGCAATAAACGTGGGCAGAGTTCTCGGAGGAGAAGGTTTATTGCATCAAGCATCTCGAGAGCTCAACAGGTTATACCTTTCTTCTTTTCGAACTAAACCCTCTTTCTGTCTCTATACTACCTCTCTCTCTCTCTCCTAGGCCTCATTTGTTATTTTATAATTTTATTACGCTCTGGTTTGATCAAAAGCGTATCTTCTTGTTTTTCTTATAGCAGTAGGCAGCAGTAGTGGTCATCCTTCGCGTGCCATTTCGCTCCCATCTCCGCCCCGCGTTTCTTAGTCTTAGCTGGATTCTCGCGTCCTCCTTGGCATGTCCGTGCAAGAGCTTCAACAGCTCGCTATAGACTTTGGCCAGGTAAAACGGAAGGGTAATATCACCAATTTATATATCTCTATATATTTTTACAAATGAATTAAATTCGTCTTTGAAATTTAAATTATTCATCAACAAAGCTATCGAGGAAAGCAACTTCATCATTTTCTTTACAAGACTAAGGCCAAAGAAATTCGGGTTCAGTCACCGCGAATTGCTTTCTCTTTCTTTACTTTTGACCTTCCTTTTGCCCTTCCCTCTCCCTATTCGAGTACGTTCACCGTTTTCCTTTTGGCAAACTGGAGCCACACCAAGACAAGTGGATCTCCAATTAAACCGACTTGTGTCGTTTTATGAGATGAGATTCGCCTTTTCCTTCTCCTTGCTTAAAAACTTACATCTATGATTCCTAACTTGTCCTCTCTTAACTCCCTAAATCCCTGATTCATAAATTTTCTTATTATCTAATAATCATATTTTGCATGTTTACAGCCGGTTACTTATGTGTTGTTTTAATTTGATTCCTACATGTTTTATTTCACAGTTGTCGTGCTATGCTCAGTAACGTTTTGAAAATCTGTCATTTGGTTCCTATAGACAATTAATGACTGTTAAGATGTATTCTTATAAATATGGAAGTGATGTTATTTTGTCTCTCTGTTCAGGTATGTTTTCTTTTCTTTTACAAATTACATTTGTTTTTTGCTTTTTTTTTTAATTATGCTATACAGAATTTGATTTTGCACAATGTGCTCAGTCTCAGGGTTTTATTTCTTTAGGTATTGTTTCATGCAAAGATGATTTGCTTGTGCTAGATTTTATTTGTGATAATGATAACCAATTGATAGCATTATAAAAGTTTGATCCTTAGAGGGATTGTGGGAGTCTGGTTTTGGAGTTGTTTCCTGCTTTTAGTGAAGAGGAGATTGCGAAGAATGTTTCTTGGTAGATCCTCTTGGCATCTCACTTTTACTTGGGTAAGACTCATAGAAACATTCTTGCTTCTTCCATTAAGCTAAACATTGCAAAAATTAATTGTTTATCATCTGTACATAACCATGATAAACAACTTGGTAGTCCCCTTCTACTAACAAATTATTCCAGTTATGATCCGCCACCACTTATAGGCCTTGAGTTGCAGTTACTCATTTCAGCTTTCAATAAATTATTAAACCCTATTGGCCCAGAAAAATAATATTCTTCCACTGCAATCCCTTATCACCCTGCATACCAGATTCACCCGGGTTACTCAAAGCTACATCCATCAACATTTAATTGAGACACCTTTGATCAGCTCGTTCAGCTCAATGAACTATTCATACTTTTATTTCAAGGAAATCAACCTGTAGTTTTGGTTCATTTAGCATGTCTTCAATAGTTTTCAGAAACTTTGTTTTGAACTTGTACTTGATTACATTACCGTCCAAATTTATTTGATATAGTGAGTTTTAACTAGAAGTGTTTTTGCTTCATAAGTCTTAAATCTTTTCCTATGGATGTTCTTTTCTTCTGTACCATGCAGCTTGGAGCAGTCACAAGGAGAATCCTGTGGATCAGATCTACGGACCCAAAAGCAAAAGTCCTTGTATTCTCCAGTTGGAATGATGTTATAGATGTGTTGGAACATGTTTTGGTTTCTAATGGCATCAATTATATCCGGATGAAAGGAGGCAGGTATGAGTATTGCCCAAACAGTTTATTCTGAATCTGTACTTTGATAACCACTTATTCAAGGCATATTTTCCTCTTCTACTTAAATAGAGAGTTGTGGTGCATGTGGGCATTCCATTTTTTAATGGGCATCATAATTGGAAAGACAAATGTACCAATACTTCTAAGAATAAAAAGATGCATTCCATTATATGGAAGCATGTTTAACCATTTCATGGTATTAATACCGTAAAATGTCTTCTGTTACCATATGATTAGTGTAAAAATAATTACATGCAGATAAGCATATCTTTGGCTTCTAATTGACATGTATTAGTAGAAATTCCGGCTCTTTCAGAACTTTGTTCGCACAAACTTTATGAGCTAGAGTCATGTATTATAGGCTGACCAGATGCCCGAGTTCTACAAGAAGAATGGAGTCTATCCCTTTCTCTAAAAATCCTTTTTTTTCATGAAGAATCTATTGAAGATAAACTTCATTGGGATTCACAAATAGCCCATCTAATACATGGTTATTATCATTGTTGCTATGTTCATTCTAAAAATCATTTTTTCATGGAGAATCTATTGAAGATAAATTTCGTTGGGGTTCACAAATAGCCCATCTAATATATGGTTATTATCATTGTTGCTATGTTCATAATTGGATCCATTTGCTGGTTTTTCTGATTCAAAATTAGGTTGGTTAGTGAATTCAAGTAGCAGTAGGAAAATTTTCTCTTTTCCAAACTTTGTACGCTGCTATAAAAGATGAGTCCTACATGCACATATGCTCCTAGTATTAATAGGAAAATTTGACTTAATGAATATCCATTAAAAAAAAAAACAAAAAAACATACAAATGTACAAGCCCGTGCTTAGCACGGGTTACTCCACTAGTATATAATATAAAGAGGAAAGATCAGAAGGCAAGTGGTCTTACCACAAGCTGTACACGAGTTTTCATGATCTTTCTATTTTCACATGTGTGGTATTCTTTTTTTTTTTTTTTACATCAATTATCCCACGGTTTCTACTCCCTATTCAACGATTGCTAATTCCTCTTCTCTTCAATTTCTCTATTTTGCACCTGTGTTTCTTCTCTCTCATTTTGGATCAATTTCTCTATTTTGAAATGGGTAACCACTTGTGTT